GGGGGGGGGGGGGGAATATGCTTAAGTTTTAGGCCTATATTCCATGATATGAGATTATGAGCCCACAACATATAATTGCAAACATAGCTTTCAACATCCAAATAAATAAAATAAAAAGAGAAAAAAGAAAATAATAAATAATAAAAAAAAATCTGGAGAAATCTGTCAACAACCTCATATTACAAATCTATTCCAACAACCACACAATACTTATTTGATCTACTATACATCATCTCCTTTTGGATAAAATTGCCTACGTTTTATTTTACTTCAAAGGGCCTCAATTTTCTTGCAAATATCAAGATTGCCCTATCTTTGTCTCATGTGGTTTCAATTCCACCATTTCAGACAAGATCTTTCTCTTATCCACTAAAACTCATAGCCATTCAAACTGATAACATGTCAATAGTAATATTCCCTTGTGAAATATGTAAGTTTCACCTCATTTCCTGGTTTAAAAGAAGAAGAAAATCTTCAAATTATATATCGAGATCACGTCGAAGAGGCGAAACTGTTAACGAAAAGAACTTATGATCAATCAAAAAAACACATTGACTTACAAAATCAAAGATGATGTTCAAGTTGTACAAATCAAGGAGAATGGATTCATATTGCCTAGTCTCTCTCCTCATCGTTTTTCGACTACAAAAAAAAAAAGAAGGGGAACAAAAGACTGTAAATGGTCTTCTTTATTCGAACTCTGTTTGTTATTTTCTTTTTTCGACACAAGCAGAATCCAAGAAGCTCAAAAAACCACCATTGTTGCTTAACATACTTCCTTAGCTGCAGCTATAACAGCTTCGGCCGTAATACCGTACTCCTTGTATATCTTCCCTGCAGGTGCACTCGCTCCAAATTTATCAATCCCGATCGCCTTTCCTTTACTCCCAACAATCTTATGCCACCCGAAAGTTGTTCCAGCCTCAATGCTAACCCTAGCTGTCACAGCACTCGGCAGCACACTTTCCTTGTACTCGGCTGACTGGTCCTCAAAAAGCTCCCAAGAAACAAACGACACAACTCTCACTTTCTTGCCTTCCTTTCTCAGTTCATCCGCAGCTTTAGCTGCAATCTCCAACTCAGAGCCAGTTCCAATCAAGATAACATCCGGCTTGTTGTCAGAAGAATTGTCTGAAATGGTGTAGCCCCCCTTTTCGACCCCCTCGATCGAAGTTCCGGCCAGATTGGGCAGCTTCTGACGAGAGAGTGCAAGAACTGAGGGTCGTTTTCTGTTGTCGACGGCAACTTTGTAACAGCCAGCTGTCTCGTTTCCATCGGCGGGGCGGAGCATGAGTATGTTGGGCATTGCCCTGAAACTGGCCAAGTGTTCGATGGGCTGATGGGTGGGGCCATCTTCACCGAGCCCGATTGAGTCGTGGGTCATGACATAGATGACTCCAGCTTCGCTGAGGGCTGAGATTCTCATGGCTGATCTCATGTAGTCTGTAAAGACGAAGAAGGTTGCACAGTAAGGAATGAAGCCCGGGCTGTGGAGGGCAATTCCGTTGCATATGGCTCCCATGCTGTGCTCACGGACACCGAAGCGAACGTTTCGCTCTTCGGGTGTTTTCTTTTGGTAGTCGCCGAACATTTTCAAGAGGGTCATGTTGGATGAGGCGAGATCTGCACTGCCTCCAATTAGACCGGGGAGAACCTTTGCGAGTGCGTTGAGGTTTGTCTGGGAGAGGTTTCTTGTTGCATCGCCTGGGGTTTCGGGTGTGTATTTCTGCAAAATTACACATTCAAGAAAGACGAGATTAGATTAAATGGTTTATTATAACACTCAAAACACGAGATTTTTATAAAACAACTCACGGGAAGAGCCTTTTCCCAACCGGAAGGTAGTTCACCGGTGATGATTGATTTCAGCTCAGCTGCTTCCTCTGGGTACTTCTTCTCGTATTCGGCGAATTTGGAGTTCCATTCGGATTCATAAGCAGCTCCTTCGGGAGTGTGTCGGCTCCAATGTCTGCCCATGAAGAATATTAAAATCACTATATATTCAGATAAAAAAAGAAATAAAGATAATCCTAAAAGAAACCTTACTTCTTGACTTCATCGGGTACGTGGAATGGCTCATATGGCCATCCGAGGTTTTCTCTGGTGGCTTCCACTTCTTTGGTGCCCAAAGCAGCTCCATGGACACTGTATGAATTCGCCTTGTTTGGCGAGCCAAATCCAATGGTGGTAGTAACCTAACAAAAATAAAAACAAAATAATAATAAGCAGAAGAACTATTGTCTCATTAAAGAATTGCGAAACAAATTCAAGTAGTTATCTGACCTTGATTAGAGTGGGCTTGTCTGTGACAGACTTTGCTTCCTTGATTGCATCACGGATTTCATCATAACCGGTGTTACCGTTCTTCACCCAGATTACATGCCATCCCAGAGCCTCGAAACGTTGGTCAACATTTTCGGTGAAAGCAATCTCTGTGTCACCGTCAATGGAGATGTGATTGTCATCGTAAAATGCAATCAACTTCCCAAGTCCCCAATGTCCAGCAAGGGAGCAGGCTTCATTAGAGATACCCTCCATTTGACACCCATCACCAAGAATACAGTATCTGCATATACGAAGAAGACGAAGAAGCCAATGCCATTGGTCAAACATAACAATAAGGCCTCGTTCGGAATTATAAAGTTCAAACATAAGATAATCACATATCATGTTATCATGGACAATATAATAATCCTAACAAATTCAATCAATCTCATTAGCATTCCAAAACAAGGCATATGGGATTTAATTCTAGATTAAAAACCACACAAAAAGCAATATGTAGATCAGTTATTTACGTGTAGTGGTCAACGATCTTGCTATCAGGTTTGTTGTATCGGGCAGCCAAGTGACTCTCGGCAAGTGCCAAACCAACAGCATTTGCAATACCTTGACCGAGCGGGCCTATACAGGAAAATTAAAGTCCGATTTTAAGATCTCGATCAACTCGATTTATGCAATATAATTGAAAAAAAATAAAAAATTAAGATTCGAAACTAACCAGTGGTGACTTCAACGCCAGGTGTCTCAAAGTTCTCGGGGTGACCAGGGGTCTTGCTTCCCCATTGACGGAAACTCTTCAAATCCTCTTCCTGTAGAGTAGATAGCATTCAGCTAACAAGAATATCGAATTATCATTTAAGTAAACCAAAACGAAAAGTAAATCTGAATTCAGTACCAGAACACACTAAAAGTATCAGCACAGCTAAACAAATCCCAACAATTTTTTTTTTCTCACAAATGATATTCCAGAATTTAGATCCATAACTGAAATGCTAAATCATCGGACGGAATATCTTGAAAAATGAGTTCCGATTAAGATCCATCGCAAATTAAAAAGTAACAAGTACAATCATACTTTTGTGTTGACTTGAAAAGAGTGAGAAAATAAATTATGAGCAAAGGGATTTGACCTTGACGGCGTCGTATCCGGCGAGGTGAAGGAGTGCGTACTGCAGCATACACCCGTGTCCGGCGGAGAGAACGAAGCGATCGCGATTGAACCAATAAGGGTTCTTAGGGTTGTACCTCATCACCTCATCGTACAGAACGTGTCCCATCGGAGCGCATCCCATCGGCAGACCAGGGTGGCCGGAGTTCGCCTTCTCGACGGCGTCAATCGCGAGGAACCGGATTGTGTTGACGGACTTCTCAACGAGGGCATCGGTGGTCTTCTCGAGGGTCTCGACGGCGGCTGATGCGCGGACGGGCAGACGGGTGGCGGGTGCGCGGCGGCGGGAGACGGAAGCAGCGGCGGAGGAGGAGGCGGCTTTAAGGCCGGAGAATGAGGGGATGGAGAGAGCGGCGGATGTGGGAGAAGGGTGGAGCTGCTGGGCAGAGCCGTGGCGAGAGATGGTGGAGCGAGAGAGTATGGCCTGAGAGAGTGTGAGGGAAGAAGAAGAAGCCATGGCTCTGCTCTATCTGTGTGTGTGTTTTCTTTGTGATTGTCGAAAAATGATTTGAGGCTTTTGAAGGGAGATTGGGTGAAGATAAAAAGAAAATATGAGGTGTGGGTTTTGAATTTTTCTTTTTCGGTATAATTAAAATAAAAGACAAATATTGATATTAATAATATAGAAAAATGACAAAATAAATATATTTATATGTATATACGTATAAGATTTTTTTTTTTCAAAATATCCACATTATACTTTTATTTTGAAGAAGAAAAAAAAGAAGAAAGAAAAGAAAACCCAATTCAATAATTTGTAAATTACTTAAAAGAATGTAAAATTTTCCATTATGAAAAGTAAATAAAATTTAGTGATGCTTTTTGTATATTTTATTATTTTATTTATTTATTTATTTCAAGTTTGGTGTATTTGGGGGCTTGGGGTTGGGGTTGGGGTTGGGGTTTGGGGTTGGGTTGTTAGGTGAACTTTTGAAGAGAGAAAGAGGTACTATTGGCTCATTGTTTCTCCTAAGGCTATATTTGTTTTCTTTTAAATAACTATAAATTGTAGTGGAATCTTGATTTACAATATAATAGAATCTCGATAAATTAATAATCTGACTTAAATAATAGGGGTTTTAGGATATAAGTCCCTAGTGACAAACCTTATTAGAACTAAATGACAAGCCTAATTAAAATTTGGTTTACATCCTTTATCAAAATTTATTCCAAAAATGCCCCTCCACTCACAAATTCGAAATTACATCAGATTGTAAATATTCTATGATGTACTATGGTATTATTTAACATTTTTAATTTGCATCTAGCATTTTTGTTATTTTATTTGTTACGTGGACTAAATATATCTTTTTGTTTTTTTTTCATTACTATAAGAATCAATTTTTTTTCTACATAATATTGAAAATTATGATTTTTTTTAATTTTTTTCCGGTCGTAGTCATCTACAAACACCCGTAGCTTCGTTTTTATAATACATAAGATTTTAAAAAATATTATGGTATGCTATGGTATACTACGGTATACTGTGGTATACTATTTCATAACTATATCATTCACCAACTCCCAACCGCCGCAAAAACCCTAACTTCCAACATATTCAGCGACCGTTAATTCATAGCCGCCAACAAATTTTAGCCGCCGCCAAACCCTACCTGCAAAAACCTAGTCGTCCACCAACCCTAGCCGCCGACAAAATTAAACCCTAGCCATCGACAAAATTAAACCCTAGCCGTCATAGCCGTCAACCAAATTAAACCCTAGACGTCGACCAAATTAAAACCTAGTCACCATCCACAGTAGATCTGATAAAATTAAACATTCGACCAAATTAAACCCTAGCCGCCATAGCCGTCGACCAAATTAAACCCTAGCCGTCGAACAAATTAAAACCTAGCCGCCATAGCCATCACAAACCGCCGTAGATCTGACCTCCACCACCATAGTCGTCGTCGCCTCCTGTCTCTCCACCGCCACCGCCATAGATGCGCCATAGCCATCGCGTGAGAAGTGATGGAGAGGGAGAGCGAGAGAAAGAGAGACGAGAGAGGGAGAACGAGAGAAAGAAGAGATAGAAGTGAGAGAGGGAGACGAGAGAGGAAGAACGTGAGAGATGGAGGAAGAGAAAGAGAGACGTGAGAGAGGGAGAACGTGAGATGTGGAGAACGAGAGAGGAGAACGTGAGAGAAGATGGAAGAAAATAAGAAAAATAAATTTGGGAGAAACGTGTAGAATTTATGGATTTAAGTTGAGGGCAAATTTGGGATAAAAAAAAGTACAGAATGTTGGTCATATTTATTTTTGTAAAAAGGATTTAGTTAAGAAAAAAAATATTAGACTTGTATTCTATATCTAATTATGTTTCCAACTAGGGACATCTAGCATATTAACCCTAAATAATAACCATTTGTGATCCGACTCGGTAAACATGTTTTTAATTTTTAATTCACTAAATCAATGAAATTTTACTAGTTTTCGACTGTATTAATTTATAACTGTAGAGTGAGATTACTAAAATTATTTTATTAATTAAAGAAAGAAAGTACGTATCTTAATTTCTTGAAAATATGTGTACTAAGCCCAAGTCTATAGGCCCAAGAAATGGGTAGGTGGTCAATTTTATATTCTCTCAATTATTATTATTTATTAATTCCCTTTAACAATTATATTTTATTGGTGCACGTTTACTTACCAATTGAGGTAGGTACAATCAAACTTCAAAGAGGCTGCAGCTTAGGTTTATTTGTGTACAAAACTATGTTGATTTGTTGGTAAATTACTTTTGAACAACAAGAAGCAACCTAATGTTGCATTAAATGAAACTAAGTAAGTTTAACTACAATAATTTTTATCAGTATTTATAGATTTCTTAGAGAAAGACAGAAAAGTAGGCTGAAGAAACAAGAAATGCAGGCTGTAATTTAACCTAATACAAGGAACAAAGAACTAGTTACAGAAAGTTACGCTCGATCACCACTTCTCGAAACCCTTATATTTTATATGCAATAGTATCGGTCCATCGGAGAACTTTTACTGTATATTTGGCTCCCGTAAAGACAAAATCTTGGTTCCCCCACTGATATTTCTAAAATGTATTTTGATCGATCAGATTCATCTTTTAAATTACGAGGTATTCGAGTTTTTAATCATAATTCATTGTGTTTAAGGATTTAAAGAAACTGCAAAGAGAAAAACGGCAAAAAAAAGTGGCCTACATTAATTTAACTCTCTTACTGTTTGAAGCTGAATTTCTAATACCTCTACCTGTGACGGCGTATGGAGCAGAAGCTGATCTCAAAGAGGGTGACTTGTCAATATATGCATACCTCTCATTGCCATTCCAATACAGTATAATCCGGTTCGTAGAAGCATGTGCCCAGCTGTCACCTGTTCAGCACGACTTTTCCTCGTTAGAACAATGTATAAGATTCCTACTTATACACATACACACACACACACACACACATTTAGGCGAAAGAAACAACTGAAAAAAAAAACATTCTGATGGAGTGTGGGGTATTTACCAAGAGCAAGAGTTAGCTGAAATGAACCTTCGTTGTACTTTGTTGTTACTTGATTCAATAGAACTACCTGCAGAAGGGTTTTTGCAAGAACTGTAAATTAGGCGAAATCACGATACGGTAAATCAGAATAATTTATTGCACTGAGACAACCGACAAGTCCTTACTGCCAAATTGAACTTCTTTGCAAGTTTCATCAGTTTTAATGCCATTCCAGAAAGTAATCGAGTCCTGAGAGCCATGTCCTCGAAATCTTGACGGAAGTGGAAAGTGATGCTATCGATAACGACAACCTTAATCTGCCACAATATCAAGACACCAAAGCTATAAAATGCATGCAACCTTCACACGATTAAACCAGCACACGATTTGCTACACTTACATCTTTATGCTCAGAGACGAACTTCTCCAAGTAATTTATCACTGCAATTTGCTCTGTATAAGTGCACACGCGGAAGTAGAATATATTCTCGAGAAAATCCTTCGGCTGTTTATCTACTTGGTAGGCGGCTACAGAATCCTTCCGTAGCAAGCTATTATATTCTACCATGTCCTCATAACACGCCTCAGCGATTTGTAAAGCACGCTCCACCATAAAACTGCCCTCTGTATCTGAGCTTAAAAAAAACACTATGAGCTGAATAAAGTTTGCAGAATTGCCGACTATATAAGTATCCTGAATATAACTACCTATATAAATTGCTTTTCCTCCAACGCCACCATAATCGGCTGGTATTTGGACATTTACTGCGAGTTGAATCCTACATTTATTCATTTGTACATTATATCGAGAAAATAATAGGTAAATTCTCAAATTGATCACAGAAATAGTAGATGGGAATAATCCTCACCCGAGCTGCGTTTTACCGATGCCTGGCACTCCACCTAATAAATCAGGATCATAACTACATGGTAAGAAATACACACAAAAACGGAAGTACCCTACATGGGCATAACATTTATGATTTATGGATGCACAAAAGTGCCCATTTTCTAACCAATCTCGGTAACTTCTTTACAGCGAATTCCTCCACCTAGAATTTCGTCTAAATCCGAGCAAGACGTGGTTATGCATATAGAAGATTCCTCCTCGTGTAGCATTTCCCATGCTGTCTGTGCTCCTAGACAAAAAGAACGTAGAAACTTATTGATAATCAAGAAGATAACGTAAAGAGAACTAGACTCCACATTTTCAAGCCACTGGAATTAAATTACTTATAGACCGAAAGATTGTTGGGGGCAAAAGAAAATGAACGCTACAACGCACAGCCACAAATCCCAGCAATGAAAGCGAGTTGCAGTTAACGGAAGCCACATAAAACATCATATTTCACATGCAAAAGCACTGCGTTTGAATCACATAAGATACTAACAAATGAATGTAGGACACATGTCAAAACTTGTGTAATTCAAGTGAAAATAACAATATCTGCTACTTCTATTAGATTTAACAATTCAATCTCACAAACATGGATGTGTGTATTTTTCTGTGTGAATAAACAGTAAAGATCTACATGGTGTATTGCAGCATAAAATAAAGCATAAAGTGGAAACTACCAATAAAATCTAAATCAAGCAAAGTATAAATTTAACAATAATTTCCAAACTAAACCATAGCCTGAACCAGTCAATTTCTTCTGCTGAACAACATATCTACAGAAAGTTAATTTTACCATTCATAATCGGATGACTTCCGGTCTCAATTTTCTCTAACCCACTCCTTCTCGACGCGATTTTCAAAATCTCCGCCGCCTCATTTTCAGAGATCTTCAAATCTACTCGACAAATAAAAAAAGGAGAAAATGGTCAATAACTCATAATAATAATCCGTTATTCAATTCCAATAAGCAAAACCGCAAAACGAATTCCGAAGAGAAGAACAAAATTGTATGTTCGTCCACGCGGTAATTACATGGAAATACAGGCGCAGTTGGTAATTTACCTTGAGCTAAACGGGAAGGGGAGACGGAGGAGAGGGAGGAGAGAGAAGTGTAGCCAGCAGATAACAATTTTGCTCTCTGCGACGCAGAAATCGGTAGACTCGAGACCTCCATTTTCACATTTAGTGTGTGCTGAGTGTGTGTGACAGAAGATCGAAATTAATTTGGGCGTTTCGCGCGCTACGGTTCTTTGCTTGAAGCTAATGAATTAGGGATGGTTTATTGGACCAAAATACCCAAACAAATTTCATTTCTTATTTCAACATTTTTTTTATATATATAAATAATATGATTTAATTATATTTATTTATAATTTCATAAATACTATATTTTTTAAGAAATATATGATACCAAAAATATTCTTAAAATTACAAAATACTTCCAAAAAAATCATTACGCCACGGGTTAAATAAATTAATTACATGATCATTAAATTACAACCATTAATAGTATGGCCCTATCTATATTTTTCATCTATAAAACTAAAAGAATGGTAAATTACAATCACCTCCTCAAGGTAAAATGTTATTACAAAAAATCCCTTCTTTTTGAGAAATTACACCCAGCCCCCTGCAGTTTGTAAATCTCTTACATCCACCCCCTACAAAAGGATGTTAATGTAAGAAATCTACAAATTCAAGGGGTGGATGTAATTAAGGAAATATGAGGGACGCAAGCTCTGAGTTTTCAAGGCTACAAAGGTTGTTTTTCCAAAGATGCTTGAATTTGAGAAGTAAGAGAGGGATGAATCCGTGCCGTTTTTAACGACCGAGCTTCGCTTCTTCCTTCAGCATACTCCTCACCCAACGGCCACCTTGGCCGAATATCAACCTAAAAAAAGAAAATTACATTTTTGCCCTTAGAAAAATCACGTACAAGTTACTTGATTGGACGAAAATGGTTACTTGATTGGACGAAAATAGTTCAAGGGGTAATGTGCAAATCAACGTATAGTTCAGGGGGCAAAGTGCTATTTACTCTAACAAAAGAAAGAAAAAGAAAGAGACGGACCAGAGCATCGTCGGGTTCACATGCAGGCGGCGGAGTATCGTATCTTCCCATACGGAAATGCTCTATGCCGGTCCAAGCAATCATTACGCCTAATCATAAAACCGAAGGTCGAAGGATCAACTACAAAATCACCCCTAGGAATTGGCCTAATTACAAAAGAACCCCACTAGTTCGAAAATCCATAACGAAAACCCCTATTCTGGATTTAATAAATTGAAAATCTGAAGTTGTCTTTACCATTGTCGGTACAAAGGCTAGGAGGAGGACAAACAAGCTGAAGGCCATTCTTTTCGACCATATTATATAGTCGAGACCTCACGTATTTATTAGATGCAACACCTCCAGAAGCAACCTGTTCAAGATCGAAACGTAAAATAATCAAGAAAGACAAAAAAATTAAAATACAAAATGACGAGTAATTAATATAATGTGTTTTACTTTCACATACCAAATGCTTTATAGAAGGTTCAATCTTCAATCCCCATCCAATTGCTCGTTGACACTTGTCTTCTAAATGCAGTACCGCAACTCTCTGTCAATCAGACATATTTTTCGAAAAATCAGCATAGCAAACGCAAAAATAAATAAATGAATAAATTCAGAAAATAGATTACCTGGAAAGAGGCGGCAATATCAGCTCGAACCCTTCTATCTTCACTACTAGTTGAAGCAATAGGGATTGTAGCGTCACTGCAAATTCAATACGACCAAAAACTAAAACGGCAGCAAATTTTTTTTGCTTTTTTTTTTGTTTAAGTAGTAATGGATAATTACATATTTTTCGATTCAATAGCGAGCCTGACTTGAGTCTTGAGACCCGCGTACGAGAAGTTGCAGTCTTTATGCTGTTTCATAGGGACCTGTGGAAAATGAAAAACATTAATCTTGCATGTCCAAAAATGTTTGAAATCGAAATCGAAATCGAAACTGGATTAAGGTTTAGAGAAGAAAGGTTAAACCTTAAACTTGAAAGAGTCTTGATTGCCCTCTAGAGCCAGCTGCTCTAGAGCGGGCCCCCCACTCTTGCTCAAATCGAGACCGAGCCATTTGGCTGTCTTGTCGTACGCCTCACCGATTGCATCGTCTATCGAGGTTCCGAGTTGTATGTAATGGCCGATGTCACGGGCAAGAATAAGAAGATTGTGGCCACCTAAGTATATAAGTTAAATCTTCAGATCAGAAAAAAACTAATTAATGTGACCTGTCATTGCAATTAGTATCGAAGATGGGAAAAAAAAAAAGGCCCGTTTTTTACGGCATACCTGAGATAAGCAAGGCCATGAAAGGAAACTGTAACTCTCTTTCAACTAACCTAGACGAAAAACAACATGTTAAGTCATAACCCCGTTATGTAATTAAAAATAAATAAATAAATAAAATACCTTGCTACCAAAGCATGGGCTTCCATGTGATGAACACCCACTATGGGTAAAGCATAAGTGCCAGCAATTTTACGAGCTTTCCTAACACCAACTGTGAAACCAAAAAGAATTGTCAAATGAAACAACTATTGGTGTAAGGACGTGTTTGCTCGACAATTTCGATATACTGGGAAAGTTAAGACAGTAGACGAAGTTACCGCGTAGACAAAGGCCTAAACCAGGACCAATTGTAACAGCAACTGCGGAAAGATCTTCCTCCGTTATTTTAGCTTTATCGAGAGCCTCTTGCACTACCTGCCAAGAATATCGTCTTATATATCAGAGGACAATTTAAAAAATAAAAAATAAATAAATAAATAACAAAAAAAAAAAAAAAACCTCAGACGAACATGCAAATGTATCTTACAAGTGACTAAGAATCGGAAATGCAATAAAGTTTTAAGACAAGAGCAAATCGAGAAAATACCTGATCAATTACTAGTGAGTGTGCTCCTTCAGCCATTTTAGGAGAAACGCCTCCGTATTTGACGAGCAGATCTGCCTTGATGGAGTGAAAATAGGATAAGACGTCATCCAAGTGTGTATCGTAAACAAAATTTACCGTACGATAGTCAAAAAACAAAATGAACCGACGATTAACTGCTAACCATCAAACTGACAACGGTTTACATAAATACGATGCAGCTGTGTACTACTATTTAGCTAATGATAACTCGAAAATCGATAACTATACACTTGTACAACCAACGTTTGCCAGGTCATCAAGAACAAAGTACTTAAACTGCAGTATATAGAACCTTTCTCCCAATCAAAGGACCAACCGTTTACTAGTTTCATGGATTTGTCGATTTTTAAGAATTATCTTCGTTCATTCTACTCGTCTCTGTTAACCGTTTGTTCTTTTTGTACGAGAAAATTTCAAGACCCATGAAGAAAACTTGTGTAATAATTCCGAAAGAATTTAGTTGGTCTATCGACTGTACACCATACACAATGCTAACAGTTTGAACCATTCTATAAATACTGAACTTCAAAACGTATCATCTAAACTTGCACGCAGTAACATCATCATATACGTCCAACAATTCTCGAACGGATAAATCAATTGAATTAAATATTTTCCATGTACTTCATTTTTTTCTTCGCGAAGGATTGAATAAGTAGTAACAACACAAGGGTATGAGCAATATCCACCGAGGCCCCGAATATACTAATGGACTCGTTTATAATATTCACAACTTTTTCAGCAAGATTGTTATTCAATCATCAATGCGGCATTCATAAAAAACAACAATATTTCTAAGCTTCTTACATCAAGTACTACATAAAATTGTCTGTTCATCATCTAATTAAAGTCATCCAGACAAGAAAGGCTAAAAGCTAAGCAATCATAGTAATCATGCTCGAAAAAAGTTAAAAATTAAAATATATGCATAAAGGGAAAATTAATCCACGCCTATGGTACATATATCATAGTTTCCACTACACTAATCCAATCCAAAAATTAAAAAAAATAAAATAAAAAATCAAGAAATTAGGCTTGATATATTATATATTATATATACATACATACCTGAGAAGAAACAACTTGGCTAAGAATTTCACCATTGCTTCGAACCTATCACCAAACAAAAATTCAAACATTGATTTCAGAAATTAACCAAGACCCACAAAATAATTACGCAAAATAATCGCGGCCCACCAAATAATTACGCAAAAAAAAAAAAATTAAAATCAAACACGCGGCACTTACTACTGCTGCGGCAGTGTCGTCGCAGCTAGTTTCAATCCCCAGAACAATTAGTTCTTCATCTTGACCTAATGCGCTTGTCGATTGGGGTTTTGGAGAAGAAGAAAAATGGGGAGTAGCATGATTGTTTGAATTGTGGAGAAAATGCGGTGTGGGTGTACCGAATTGACGGTGGCGATTGAAGTTTTGGAGATTTCTGATGGTGAATTGAAGTGAGGGCTTCCGCAGAAGGGTTAGGCGGGAAATTGTGGAAGACAAATTGGATACTATGGACGCCATTTGAGATAGAAAAGAGAGCTCGATTGATTATTTAGATTGAAAAAAGAAGAAAAAAATTAGATAAAAATCCAATCTTTATAACACAGACACAGTACGTATTTTCTATATATAATTAATTAATTTTAGTAAATAAATGTGTTATAACGAAGTAGAAAACTTAAAACTTGGTATAATAAATGTATTTATCTTCGATTATTAAATAAAAATAGCAGCGTAATTTATCATATACTCCCTTCGTTTCGTAAATAATAGTTGTTTTTCAATATGATTTGTATTTTTTTGGCAAATTACAGTCACTCCCTAAGTTAAGGTTAAATTACGAAAATACTCTATGTGTTTGAGTAATTCCAATCACCCCTTCAACTATGTATTATTTTACGAAAAAACTCCATATTCGGTTGGTGAATTTGAAGTGTGATTATAATTACCCAACACGAAGAGTTTTTTCGTAATTTAACATTACCTTAGGGACTGACCGGACTTTACCCTTAGTGGGTCGTTTAACTCCTCAAGAACTGCTGCGCAACATCTTGTCAAGAAGCCATGATTCTCTTCTTCATGTTCTTGCCTATTTTCTTACAAAATGATTCCTTTTTACTTAAGGGTTTTTCTTTTTTTTTTTTGCTGTTTTTTTTCAGGATTAAATAAATATTACAACATAATCATTCACAAAATCTCTTTTAAACGGATTCAATTATATACTTTTACCAAGATTTGATCTTTTGGATGTCTGCTATGCCTATGATTGATGGTTTTTGGCACTCTTTGTTCACTCCCAAAGCAACACATTTAAAGCAAGTCAATTGTTTATTTATTGGTATTATCCAATCAGTTAATCAATGGGTGAAAATCGAATGGAATGGATTGTAAAAAAATGACTTTTAATTTTAGTTCCAAAAAAATCGGAATGCAAAAATTCATTCCAATTTCAGAATGCCTCAAAATCGGAATATTATACATCATAAAATTAAATTATATATTTCGCAAAAGAATCAAAATATTCAAAAGTAAAATCGGATCGGAAATCGGGATTTTCAGTAATTTTATATACAATTCCTATTCCATTCCAAATAAATTTTGGAAAAATCGAAAATCAGAACGAAAATACGGTTCTATCGAATGTTTTCGGATCAGAATTGGTAGAATTCGGAAATTCCATTTCGATTTCCACCCCTGCTACGCCAGTGTTTATTAAACAGAAAAAAAAAAAGAATTAATCAAGAAATTCGAATAAAATCAACCTAAATATATAAAAAATGAGGTTTTATATATTAAGTGGACCATATGTGCCCATAGTGCAGATTCAATTATGCAACAGGTGATCATTAAAGTTAAACACTTAGCTAAAAATGGAGTCTTTATTTCTAACTTTCAATGATTTAGTATTACTTTGCCAAACCCTCACTTTAATTTAATATATATTATTTTTTTATCCAATAGTATATTTTTATTTTTATTTTACATCATTCAATAGTGTTTAAATAACTGTTCACTTCATTCATACTAACCACTGAAAAATCCATGGTGAGTGTCATATATACTATACTACTACAACCTTAAACTCTCCAAATTTGCAATTAAAATTCATACATTTGATATATGACATGCAGGAAACAGGAAATGCCGATGCTTACACGAAAGACGGAACGATCGATATTTACGGAAAACCGGCAATGAAAGAGAAAACCGGACGATGGAGAGCAGGATCCCTTGTTCTTGGTATATTTTCGTACTTGTCTAACTTTCATCTATACTAAAATTAAAATTAAAATCGAAATGAAAAAAAACGAATCGATTTTGGGTTCAGTTACCGAAGGACTAGCTGCACTTGCATTCACCGGTGCAGAAGTAAACATGGTTCTTTTCGCGAAAACGGTGTTGGGACAATCGAACGCCGACGCGGCAAACACGTTTAGTACGTGGATGGGAACTCTTAACATGTGCACTCTATTTGGTGCTTTTTTAAGTGACTCTTACTTGGGAAGATATCTCACTTGTGTTGTATTTCAAGGTGTTCTTGTCATTGTAAGTCATCTTCTTACAACTACTTTTCTTTAGTTTATTTTTTCTAAAACTACCGTTTTTATATACTAAAGTCTCGTTTTTGTATAGTTCGACCGATGGGTCTAGTATACGATCCATCAATAGGTCGAGATAAGGGCTCATAAGGTCAAAAAAGTCCAGACTGGACTAACCAAACAACGAATAAGATCCAATTATTTAATTAATCATATTTTTGCTTGAAAATACTTTTTTTTGTTTTTATAGGGATTGGTGCTATTATCCTTGTCAACTCAAGAATTCATGCTTGAACCAAAGGGTTGTGGAAAAATTGGAGATTTGTGTAACAAACCATCACAAGCTAAAGTTGCTAGCTTCTACATATCAATATACCTACTTGCACTAGGGAGTGGGGCTATTGAGCCGGCACTCGCAACATTGGGTGCCGACCAATTTGACGAGGAAGATTCCGATGAGAACAAATCGAAAACGGCGTTTTTCAGCTATTACTACGTGGCTTTAAATATTGGGTCGTTGATAGCAGAAACCGTGTTGGCGTACATCGAAAACCTCGGGAAATGGGTTTTGGCGTTTTGGGTTTCGACTCTTTGTGGTGTATTGGCTTTGGGTTTTCTCCTTAGTGGTACTTGTAGGTATAGACATTATAAGCCTTGTGGTAATCCCATTTCAAGATTTTGTCAAGTGGTTGTTGCTTGTGTGAGGAAATTTGAAGTTAATGTGCCGTTAAATGGAGAAGGGCTTTACGAAGGCGAAAACGAATGTGCTCGAACGATACCCCACACGGGTGATTTCAAGTAAGTCCGTTGAAATACAAACAAACATTACCTTTTTTTTCGTTTCCTCGACATGATTTAACTCTAAAATTTTCCAAAGAAATTCCGAAAATTCCGCTTCCGATTTTTCCAATTTCTTGGAACGAAATTGGAATACATATTAGATTCCGATTTCCAATCCCATTTTTAATTTTTGAAATAAACCAATTGTTTTTTTTTACTATTCCTTGGGAAATAGGTATCTTGACAGAGCAGCTGTAATGACAAATTCAGACAAGATCTTACTATCCACCAAAGGCCAATCTCCGAATCCATGGCATCTATGCACAGTCACACAAGTGGAGGAAGTCAAATGCGTACTAAGACTCCTCCCGATATGGTTCTGCACCACCGTAGCATCCATGGTGTTCGTACAAGTCCTCTCTCTCTTCGTCGAGCAAGGCTCTGCAATGAACACTAAAATATCGAAAAACTTCCACATAGCTCCAGCCAGCATGACTGCATTCGATATTATAAGCACATCAACTTTCATCATTTCCTACGAGAAAATAATCGTACCGTTATATATCAAACTCGTGAAAAAAGAGCCGAAAATTCCGTCCGAGCTTCAACGAATAGGAATCGGGATGGGCATTTCGGTCATATCAATGGTGGCTGCAGGGCTTGTGGAGCAGTTTAGGTTAAGATATGCTGACGAAGGAGAAACGAGTGATTTGAGTATTTTGTGGCAGATTCCACAGTATGTGCTCGTGGGAGTTTCCGAGGCTTTTATATATGTGGCGCAGTGGGAGTTTTTTGCGTCGCAAATTCCCGACGGATTGAAGAGCTTGGGGCTTGGTTTGTCCATGTCATCGTCAGCTTTGGGAAGCTTTCTTTGTACGATAATTGTAGCTGTAGTTATGAAGTTCACTTCGAAGAATGGGGAGAAAGGGTGGATACCAGCGAATTTGAACGAAGGCCACATGGACAGGTTTTTCTTCTTGTCGGCTGTTTTGGTTGCTTTCGATCTCGTTCTTTTCGTCACCTGTGCACACCGCTTCAAGTGTATCAAACAAGAGAAACGAGAACAAGTGAAGGAAACTTCCGATTCTACCCTTATCTGATGACGATGAAGATGAAGATGAAGTTCAAGACTCACCTTTTTGCCATGTTTGTAGCTTAAAAGAGTAAAAAGTGTACGATGAACTGTTATCTTGAATCGAAATGAATGACTAAAACTTAACCAAAATAGCACTGTCTTTCTTTATCTGGTAATTATAAAGGCTGTTTACGGAAACCTATCAATCTAAAAGAAAAGTCTATTGTTCGTTTCTTTAGGTATTAATGTATTATTGTTCATAAGGAAAAAAAGAAGAAACGGGAGTGGGGCTATTTTTGCTGATATCATGCTGTCATTTGGATATTTTAGCGGTGAGTTCTCGAACGAGCTTAGCGGCAACCATGGCTGTCATACCGTCAACGGTGTCTCGTTGAGGGTTGAATTCGACGACATCACCGGCGACAACATCGCCTTTTAGGTTCTGAAGTATGTTTAGGACATCACGGAAAGAGAGGCCACCTGGCTCGATGTGGGATACTCCTGGAGCAAATGCTGGATCGAGACAGTCCACATCCACCGAAATGTACACCCCTTTTACACCTTCCCCAAGTTTCTGCCCAACAAATCAGATTATATAGATAAGGAAAAATTAATCACTTCTAGCAAGTTTGTGTGTGTGCGTGTGTGTGTGTGTGTGTGTGTGTGTGAGAGAGAGAGAGAGAGAGAGAGAGAGAGAGACCAGATTCTCCAATAGGTGGCGATCACGGGAAAATGTTCGCATTTCGTATTGCTCCACACCAAAACGTTTCCCTTGTTCTCGTCCTTCCTTTGTTATTGACCTAATTCCAACCTGCAGCAACCATTATTAGTACTTCGTCGAGATTCAATCAAATTCTTTTCTAATGGGAAGCTAAAAACCCATCAACTTGCATAGGACAACACTTGGACGATAATGCTTTCATTTATATCGAGCTATTTTACAAGGACATGGAGAAAATAAAAAGATAAAAGAAAAATTGTGGCATTAAAGCAAACTTCAGCTGCAGAAAATAAGGACAAGATTTTGCAATGACAACTTAGAAATAAAGGGTTCTAGATGACTACCACATACGGGCACATATATTTAACTTAAGCATGCAGACATTCACAAGAAATGTAATATGGCATATATAAAATTATAAATACACGACCGAAAAAAAATTTGGAAAAAAAACAGATTACCTGCAAGAGCCTTCGAGCGTAACCACCCTCCATAATCCTAGCAAAAGAAGATGCATGAGAATATTTGTTTCCCTCAAAAGAATGATAAATATCCGGATGCGCATCGAGGTGAAGAATATCAACAGGTCCCCCAAGCTTCTCAGACACTGCTCTCACCACAGGAAACGAAATAGAGTGGTCCCCACCTAGCACCAACGGCCGTAGTGGTTCCTACAAATTGCAGTAAATAAATAATTAGGAATTTTTTATAGCAAAAAGGACCCCAAATACGTGGATGCATTTGAAAATGGAAGCTCACTTGTTCCATCACTAGCTTCACAGATTCGCTTATGATGTTCATCAATCTGTCATCGTCAACTCCACAATCTCGTAACTCTTGAATCGGGACATCTCCAACGTCAGTTAGGACCCGTGGATCATTAAGGTCTCTACCTGCATCATTTTTCAATATTTTTTTAATAGGATGCATCCGTTAGTTTAACAGAAAGCAAAACTCTGTTGTCAATAAATGTGGCAAAATACATGAAATGATATAGCAAGTGAACCGTACATAAAGTTAAAAAGACTATTTTTTTTCCCTGTCTAACTACACTACAGAACATCAACTTCAGAAAATCAAACTATGGTGTAAAGTTTACGCATTCGAGGCAATCTCGTTTCGACTCGAGATTGATCGTTAAAAGCTTGTTTGAGCTTGATTCATTAACATAACAAACCAAGATTGAACAAAGTTCTCCATTTGATAAGGCGTGAAAGCGCAACTCGAACCTCAACTCTTAAAAATAAAATTAAAATGTGTAAAAAGGTTGGAATCCCAATTACTGAAATTAAAAGTTCGGCTCGATTAAAGCTCAATTACTGAAATAAATTTTCTCAAGAACGATAGTTTTTAGGCCAAACTGAAAAGTGAATGACTGATTAGGCATACAAATGATACCTTCTTCTGTGGTAGAATTAGTACTGCCACACCAAATGGCCTCTCTTATACGAGGAGGTGCAAATGCCGGCCCCTGGAGAAAGGACGAGTTGTGTCCTAAAGGAACTCCAAGGAGAGATGCTGACGCCACTACACCTCCCATAGCTCGTAATAGTTCCCCCTGTTTTGTGTAGTAAAAATAATATTAGATATCAATAGAAACAATCAATTTCTCACGTATATGCGGAAAAAATCAGAAATCCTGAGAATATCACATAGAAATATCCTTCAAGGTATTTTATTCACAATATCGATTTTTCGGTATTACTTATCATTACCATTTTCGGCATCTGAAACAGAACATTTTGACATGTCTAATAAAAAAAAATTACGGATTCGAACTACTTTATAAACAGATTATGTTAAACATGAGAGACAAGAAGATATATAGACACAAATATGAAACATAATAAATCAGATAATACCTTGAGCTTTGCTCTCTCCCGGATAAGCGTAAGGGACGCCTCGATAACGCGATTTTGACCTTTCTCTATCAAATCTTTGGGAACATTCGAGGCATTCAGCTTCCGCAGGTGATGAATTCCCATCTTTCCAATGGTATTCATTCTTTCTGATTCTGGGTTTCAAATTATCTAACCCAACCCACAAGAACAAATAATTTCATAAATATATTTTTCAAATCAAATATTTTTTTTACTAATTGAACTGAAAATTGCTCTGTAATTTCTTCATTAGCAGCACCCAATTAACAAACACACCTTGAATAAACTATTTCTTATTTTTGGAAATGTATCGAAACCACATAACAGAAAGACAATGCAAATTTTAATTCAAATCGAGTAATAGGGCAAAATGGAAAAAGGAATTATTCACCCAATTTCATTGCCAGATTACCTCTCCTCACTCCTATATCCTAATTCACACACTATAAGGTAATCACAACTACAGATTTCCGAATTTCATTTCGCAAAGTGATCTACCCCAAAAAAAATCGGGAAAAAAAAAACAGATACATCAAGCAAATTCAAGAGGAAAAAAAATCAAAAAACGCGGCAAATTAAGATTAGGAAAAAAAAAAAAAAAAACTGAGACTTACCGGAGTGAGAGGAAAACGATGAAGGAGGCGGGGAGAGAGAGAGAGAAGTGTGTGTGTGTGTGTGTGTGTGTGAGATTTGTATTGGGAAGAGAAAAGAGGGGCGGGTTTACTATGCTGTATTTGGCGCTAATCAGCAGAGGATACATGCAGCTTTCTGATAAGCTGTTTTCAGCTTTTAAACTGAAAACATGGGATTCCGGATTTTGGATCGTTGCTAAAAAAAAAGAAAAAGTAATTGCAAAAATCTGCTTTTTTTTATGTTTATTATTGCAAAATATCTACTATAGTAACGGTACAATATCAATATGTGTAGAAATTAAATGAGATTCAATAAATTGACAGCAAAATATGACGTCATAAATGGAAATTATAATTAAATTGCTCATATCAGATACTACTTATGACTGGTCAAAGGAAATTTAGTGCAGTTGCGATTAGGATTATCCTTGTCATAAAGTTGGATTAGGACAACACGCATTAGCCAATAACACCTAATTTAAAATGAGGAGATTATCCACCTTTGCCAATTTTTATCCCTTATTACTATATTCCGTCTGGTTGCCAATATAAGACTGGTCAAAACAAAATTATGCGATCTGATACGAATTTAAGTGTATTGGTTAATTATGGCACATATAGTTTACGATTTCGTAATAGGGATTATTAGGGAAAACCCCCTCATTTGAAAGTTATCTTTGGATAAATCCATTTTTTTTTCTCCTATTTAACATAAGTCCAAATTTAATATTGAATTTTAATAATACAATTATACCCCTTACTTTGCCAAAACCTATATCACACGTTTTCTCCGCCTCTCCCTCCTTTGTTTTTTTTCTTCTCTTTGTCGTTTCAATTTCTCTCTATCTCCAGCTCCTCGCCTCCATTGCCGAATCGAGTGACCTCGAAAAATACTACTGCAACTGCCGCCACCGTGGACGCGTCTGATCCAAACGAGAAATTGCCGCCTTGGACGACTCTGACCAAACTTATAGTGCAGATGCTTCTCTAATGGCGTCATGATACATATTCCCATATAAAAAATATTGCCATCAATATTCCGTTTGGTTCAATGGAGACGTGACGACGTCGTATCTGCAAATTGGGCTTCTTCTCCAAAGGTAGCTGCCGGATCTCACCCCGTTAGATCCGTTTGCCTCCTCTAAAATTTGATGTCGAAATTTCGAATTTCGGATCATCTTCCGTTTGGTTCATACGATTTGAATATTTCGATTATGTCGAGTTCCTTATGGTTTTCAATTAGACTTCTAATTTTTTTTTCTGGACATGTAAGAAAGAGATTTTTTAATTGTGAAATGCAATCAGGGATGAAAAGGTTCAATTCTTCTTTTTTTCATATGGAAAAAAATACATACTCACTTTGCATATGGTGTTTTTCGTTTGTTTCTACAGTGAAAAAGTTTGAAGTAAATAAGTTATGTCATTTTATTTCGAACAATATGAATTTATTTTGTGGTGGTTGTAGGATTATGCGAATCTCTTAGTGAGTTTTGTAGTGAATAATTAAGTAAATTTGTGTAGTGGGTTTTGTGAATTTAGTTTACTAGTGCATTATGCTAATTTGTAGTGGATTTAATTAATTAAAGCTCTAGAAAATTTAATGATATTGCCGATCAATCATCTTTAACAATTAATTAAGATACAGTGCGAATACACATACATCAACATCTTTAACAATGTCCGAACTTCATATATATCATATTCTTTGCAACATAATCATCCATAAAATTGAAAACTCAGACTACTTATCTGTAATTAATCAATATTACACATTGCTCATTCATTAATCTCTCAATATTATATTTATAAATATATTGCTAGCTAGAAAAGTGGTTTTGTAATTATACAGAGCTATTTTCATGTTTATATTGATGTTTATACATAGTGGTTTTCATGTTTATATAGTTGTTTATACAGAGTGGTTTTCATGTTTATATAGATGTTTATACAGAGTGGTTTTCATGTTTATATAGTTGTTTATACATACTGGTTATCATGTTTATATAACTGTTTATACATAGTGGTTTTCATATTTATATAGTTGTTTATACATAGTCGTTTTAATGTTTATATAGCTATTCATACATAGTGGTTTTCATGTTTATATAGTTGTTTATACAGAGTGGTTTTCATGTTTAAAAAGAATAAATCACATACAAGACATGAATCCAAAACATGTTGCTGAAACCCACTATTTTCAAGCAAATAATTCACTTTAAAAACAACTATTCTAAGTAATGTATGTATATTGAAAAGAACACACAACATGAAAGACATGAATCCAAAATTACTGTTGCCGAAACCCACTTTCTTCTGAGCAAATAATTCACTTTAAAAACAACTATTTTATGTAAATTAGTGGATTTTTGTTGATAGCAGAGTGGAATTGATCTAATACAAACATTGTAGTTCCTTGATTTTCCGTATTGGAAGTGTAATACAATCTTTAACTACAATAATTTTCAATATCAAATAGCATAATCAACTACGATTACACTAATCGACTAATTAAATTTAAACAGAAAAAGAGCTCCGAAAAATCAACAAAAAAAGATTGTAGTGTAATTTGTGCCTGCATCTAAAGTCCTTATGCCGTTCATCATATTGGCTTTCCGTTCCCCTAAAAAAATTGCAACAGTCAGAATTAAAATTTTGCATTTTTTTTTTCGTAGATGTTTTAAATCTGAAATTATCGTAAAAAAAAGGAACACATACTTCTTGTCGGCGCCTTCTTCATGGTCGGTTATATCGAAAATTGCAGAGATAATAATGGTAT